TCAACGGAGAAGGCTGCAATCACTCCAGCAGTGGAGGACCTTTTTTTTTTGGCGCCGCCGGAGATCGCGTGTCATTTCAAAAATATTTAATATTTTATTTCAAAAATTTTACTGTGTATTCTCAAAACATGTATAAATATACTCTCAAAATTTTAAATAGATGGATTCACTAGTTTTTTTTTTTTTTAATTCCCAAAAATGGCCTTTTTTTAGGTTGTCACACTAGGTGTGCCCCTTAATCTTTCTTTGTCCCTACTTAAATCATATACTCGATGAAAGTAATGATTAATTCTAAACCTTATTATTTTAGTTAATACTAGTATCTATCTTGATGTTTCTAGTGAGTTAAGAAATGAATATAAGCTGTCTTGTTTATTTTAATTAAACTGGAGTGTGACTGTCCACTTCTTGTGTATCAAATAAATAAGTAACACCAATGAATTGCGAAAATGCACTGTGGAAATACACTGCATGAGTTTTGACATTTTTTTGGTCCCTTTTATATTTTTGTTTTGTTGTTAATTTTGTAGTTGTATACATATGCCTACTTGATGACATATTTTTTGTTATTTTGATTTAAAAACTACGGGATGGATTTTGATAAAATTTCTATGGGACTAATTTAAAAGCATGTCCTTTTAAATAAAAAAAGAATTTTCGAAATCGGTTTATAAATGGCGGAGTAACATAAAAAATACAACCGAATTCATAACCTCATCCTTTTTTTTTTTTGAAGTCAGTTAAAAACAAATAAAAAAAAATTATGAGTACTACAATAGAACAATCTAGATTCGACTCGGGTAGTGCTATATTGGTTCACGGTTGGTTCAAGCTACTCATGAGTGCTGAGAAAGTCCAGCATTCAATAAGTAACCAGTATTTTTTTATAAGTACTAAGACAGTTCAAAAATAAAACCGTACGGTTCTGTGTAAAGAGTGCATTATCGTGTAACCTGGCTCTCAGTTTATGTACTGTTCATACGATCAATTTATACCAATTTTATTTTAAGTACAATAGAATCGTAATGGTAATATTAGTTTTGGTATACAGTTATAAATTTATATAATAATTTAACTATTAATTATTAATTAATATAATAATAACATTTTAAATATAATCAGTGGCGGCGGCACGTGGCTTGGATGACAGCACGATCGCACTCCCTACTAAAATTAATTAAAAGAAGAAAATTAATTGTACATCCTTAATTCTTCATTTTTATTTAAAATCCAAATTTTTAAATAGTAAAATATCTATAATACATTTGTCGTATACGAACATTTAAGTTGTTTCCCTCAGAATATGCAGATACGACGCATTCACACACGAGCAGTGTTTAGACGACCGGCAACGTCATCTATACGATAAAACATTAGTATATTACTATTAAGAATAATTTATTTTTAGAATTAACTCGTACAGTGTACGCTCGTCGTTATCGGTTGTTATAATAGTATAATCGCTATTATTATTATTTTCATTTCTGTTTTGTACTGCAACCTTCAAATTAATAATATGTGTATTGTGTTTCATTTTATTATATTTAATTTGACAATTTTTTGAACCTATGACTAGTGGTATTATATTAAAATCGCATTTCCACTACTAGCACCCACTGAGCAACATTATTATTATGTCTTTATGAAATTGATTTGTATTATTTATTATACATTATCTTATAAAATGAATACGAAGTTTTGAACAATGATTCTAAAGTGTATAGGGACGATTTTATTAGGGTGGGAACGCCACAATCACCCAAACAGTTATATGAGTTATTAGTGTCAGAATTTTTTTAATATATTGTTTATATACTTTTTTATTCATTAAAATAAAACTTAATTCGGCTAAATGTATAGCATAACCTACTACGAAACACAGTCTTTAAAAATCGTTATTCTCCCGAGACTTATTTTCTAATATTATTACATATCTTATAGCAGCACAACTTAGTTTTTATAGCTTAAAGTCAATTTTTAAAACACACTATTATACAGACGATTTTAGCGTTCAATATTTTGATTCTTTGTAATATTTAAAATCGCATAGTTTTTATTTGGAGGCCTTTTTAATATAACTGGTGTATTCATCAGTCAGGGATCGAAAATCCGTATAAAAGTTTCTAGTTAACTTTGTATAGTGATGCTGACCACCAATACAATGCTACTTATAGTGATATTTGTCAATTTGGCCGACACGTGGTGATAGTTATTTTAGTTTTGAGATATTCTTTAACGAATTGAAACTTATATCAATTATTTTTCATTTGATATTTGTGTCCAAATCTTTGATTTTGTATTAATCACTTGAAACTGTTAATTAAATAAAATAATTTAATAAATTATCTCTATTGATTGACCTATTATTGATCAATTTTGAATGCTCCCTGACAACTAATCAATATACAGGTGGCAGACCTTAATTAATTTTTTAATTAATGTTAGAAGGACAATTGTCCCGTTATAAACTTAGGCATTAATTATTTTTCCGTATATACATAAAAACAATTTAAAAAATAATATTTTTTCTAAAAAAAGTGGCATAGATACCTTTTAACATATGACTAATAGACTATATAAACTATATAAAATCATTAATAGATGTTATTTATCATTTTATTTTTGGAATATGTACGTTTCTCTTTATTTTTCTTTGAATATAAATACTTTTTTACAAATAGAAATGTAGGCTCTGAAAGTATTTAATTAAATTTTTTGTTTTTAAGTATTCAGCAGATTTAAGTTTTTTATCATATAAATGCAGTTGACATCTAGGTGATTCCAGATAAGACCCTTAAAGTAATCGAATATTTCTAATTACTCTGGAAAATCATTAATAAGTTGTTTTATGTCTTCGTATAATTCTAGAAAATCTTTGTTATATCTATGTATGATACTAATATACGATAGTGCATTATACAATAAAGTACTACTAAAATTTACTCTCTCTCAAAGGATAATGGTATTGATCGAAACTTTGTATAGTAAATATATCGCTATTATATAAAATTGCTTGTAAACATCAATTGTTCATAATATCAAATTTTCTTAACACACGTTTAAGCATTAGACTAAACGTACAGTTCATAAATATCATAACACAAATATATAAGTACTTTATATTCATCGTATATGTTACTTTAAAGAGATGTAGGATGATGTACTATTTATATTTCATTACTACATTTTAAAATTAGATTAAATTGATTAAAACAATACAATTAAAATATATGATATTCTATAATAATAATATTGGACATTTTTAAACATTTCAGAAGTTGACCATTGCAGAATGATTGCATACTTATAAATTATCTAAGATTATTAAAAAATGTAGAAGTGTAAACTAAATAATTCTAAGATAATTTTTTAAAAAATTTTTTAATTTTTTAACATGTTTTTAATTACAACCCATTTTGGATTTCGAAACTGGTTGACCAAAAAAAAAACTCTTACCTATATATTACATAGGAAAGATGTTTTTATTTTAATGATAATAATAATTCAAATATATTTGGACAAATACGATAGTATTTCTAAAAATTGATACTATCATTAAACAAAATTATTTTCGTCCATGAGTAAACTTATGATATGAATCTCATAGTATAAAAATATAATAATCAATTTCATGATTTTGAATTTCATGAAATCGGAGAATTATAATATAATATTACCAGAATTGCTTAAATAAAATTAATAAAAATATTTTTTAGTTCCAATAATTTGAACTAGTTTTAATAGTTTTGATATGACTGTAAACTGTGTTTTTTCTTTAACTACCGTCCAATATGAACAAATTGTGTTCAGTTTTACTCGTATTTGTATTTAGCTATAACTATAAATTATTTGGTCACGAGAATTTGTTTCCACATCTACAAATGGTATGCTATTATTGTTAATGTATTAGTTCATAAATATTTTTATATATTCTATAATTTTTATAATCCAGGGTGAATATCATATTTAAAGCAGGTTTTAAATGCAATTCTAGTTTCAATTATCAAATCGACTTGAATCTTCATCAGAGTAAGATGTCTAGTTCTAAAACAGTGTTGAAAGGAAATATCAACTTTTATATCCCATATGACGACTCATTGATTGTAAGAATAACAATGTTGAAATTTATGGCTATTCCCAAGAACTGATATATGAATTTGATAAATTTTTCAGGAGAGCAAAAACTAATTTAAAGTTTTAATGGTGTCTTATGAAAATCTAATTTTTATATTTATATTTGTTATTACAGAACAAAAATATTTAATCCTATTCATTTTTATCCATACTTCAAAGTATTGTAGCAAAGTAAAAAACTATAACAATTATCATATTGAGCTAGTTAAAAAGGATTTTAAGTCTATTTTTGAATATCGTTAGAAAAAATGTTAAATTTACTTTTTTCTTTTAACCTTATAAATCATCAAAAATCACAAGAACAATATTGATTTTAGTTTCGATGTGAAGCTGAGAAGATTTAATTTTTACAATGACGTGTTTTTTTTTTGTGTGTGTTACCACTTTTTCTCAGCTCTCACCGAGCGGATTTCTTTCAACGATAAGTCAAAAGATCAAAAATCGTATCTATTCGAAGACATTACTCTCAATATTGAAAAATTTTCCTCGTTCCCCATAAATGAGGTTTAAAACTTAAAAATGCATATAGAAAGTAAAACTTTTTCAACTTAATTTTTGAAGGTGTTCCGAAAATACTGATACTTTTATATATATCTTAAATTAAAGTTTATGTAATATACTTTAATATGAAAAAAACATTTTGGAGTATATTTTGTTTTCACGGTGAAAACGGACATCAAAGTTAACAAAAAATACTAAATTATTAAATATCATATTCATAATATATTTAATTGCTATAATAAATATTCATTCATATATAACACTTATAAATCTTAAAACTTGTAATCGGGATATAAAAAAGGAAATAGTAATTCATGTTGCTTTTGGAATAATCTACCAATTTTTTAAAATTAAACACTATCTACAGATTTGCATCGAAGCTTTTTTTAGTTAGTGATTTTAATCACTGTCAGATATCATCTATACTAGACCCAATTATATCACGTCCTCACTGTGCTGGGGTTTTTTTTTTAATCTTTACTGTTCAAGAGAAAATTATGTGAAAAAGAAACCATTTTATTTGATAGAATTTCTTAAGAGCTCCAAATATTTCTATTTGTTTTAAGTAATTTAAATTTATTCTACCTTTAAAATATACAGAAAACAATTTTTATAAATTTGAGGAAAAAAAAATTTGTTTAATTTTTTAATTTCCACCAAGTAAATGAAACATACCTTGTGAGAGGTTATGCAACATCTTGGTTTTAATCTGTGAAAAAAGTTCTTATATCTCAATTATAGTCTAGACAACCTTCTTGTATTGAAATTAAATCTTTAAGATAAGTTAAAATTTAGTTCATGTAAATTATTTTTTATTAATAGATGGACTTAAATTTCGCTATTTTAGACAAGATAGGAGGTTGGAAAGACAATGCATTAGTATTTGAGTTTCCAAATGCTTGTTCTTCGTCTATATCACTCCTTGAATATCCTGTGTGGGAAATGATTTTGAAAAGCATAAATGTAACTGATTTTTCTTGTCCAATAAAAGAAGTAAGTTTTAAGTTTAAATAATAACAAAATATTCATCACATTGTTTAATACCTCATAATATTTATATTTACTACTCAATTTAATTCACACAGTAATTTGAAACGTACTAATTGAACCTGCTGAATCATTGAATAAATGGCTTTTTATCTCATCAGTAAATTTAGTTACCTCATGTATTAAATAAAATATGTATAAACCATTATGATCACAAAAATATGAGATCAAGAATTGTTTTGCTTTAGACAAGAGTAAGCTTAAATTGTTGACTAAATATATTTTCCCTCATTCTAAAAAATATTTCATATTTTAGTATAAATAATTTATTATTCTTATTGGAGACTATCTTCCTAATCACCCGTAATTGATCTTATGCTTAAATATATTTGTTCAGATAATAAAAAAAATATTTAGTAAAAAGGCGTTAATTTGTTCAGTACTTCAGCAGCACACTAGTTAAATCCTACACTATCTATGATGGGCTCATGTAATGTGTAAACATTTATTTATATAATTTTTTTTTTTAGAAAAACTATGTTATGCATGATCTAGACATGGATTCTCTTGTGTATACGGTGCGAAAAAGTAAAATGTTTCCAAAAACATTTTTCTATGGATCTTACAAAGCTAAATATATTTTAAAAAAGAAAAATAGTAACACGCAAGTAGCTTGTTTTATTATAATAGTTGATGTAGCTAGGCCATGGGAAGATACTTACCATTATCAATAAATATAATAATTAAACGTTGTAAAAATAATATATATTAAAATGCATTATTAAAATTAATAAAATATTTATTTTTGATTTTTAAGTAACTTTTTATCTAAGCACTGACAAAATTAAAACTACTTATTATGAATTAGCACTCCTATTCTTAGCGAATATTTATAACCTCTAAAACTTAATTCTAGTTTACAATAATAGTTATATATTCTTTATACTTAGTAGAAAAAACATTTTATGTAAGAAAATATGCCTTTTAATAAAATATAAAATATAACTAAAAAAAAGATATAATGTAGATATAATATAAAAAGATAAATTTTTTTATGATATAATCATAAAGAATATCCAAATGTTTTCTTTGAGTTACTACGTGTTTATTCGACTTAAAAAATTTTAAACAATAAATTGCATGGTTATCTTAATTAATGAAATCATTGATAGGGATTTATCTTGGAACAGAATTACCGTTAACTCCACTCACTGGAAACTGATTTATATAATGTTTTAACTTATTCAAAATTTCTGAAATATTTCTATACTATTACCCTACTCATACTAGTAATGTAAGAAAAAAAAACACTACAATATTGATCAAAACGCTATATTAAACATTTATTATTTTCAACATTTCATTCAAAGAATGCATTTTAAGATCTAGAATAATTTGCTTAAAAACAAATCCGTACTGTTAGTATATGAGCGTTAAAACATTTTAAAGTCTTACTTCTACATTTAAAAATTAATTTTAACAAATCGTTGAATAATTTATTTTATCAATGTTTTAGGATGCATAAAATAATTATTTTCAAATTCTAGCTATCTTTCTGATTGTGCTATCCCTTTCAGTATATGGTTAAAACTAACCATGTACATGTTGAAATTTTAAAAAATTTAAAATAAATTTTTTTTTTATTACTAAATTTAATTACAGTAGGTTAGGAAACTATAGATGATATCTAGTAGAAGTTAAAATCACTGTCATACAAAAGGTTTCGATGTAAATCTGTAGATACTGTTTATTTTTTGAAGGAATTGTCATAATATACTCGTTACTACCATAACATGGGATATTTATACATTATATTCTTAGAAGGACATAATCCTTTACAAACAAAAATAATTTGAATAAACATTTAACAAACACACACAGTTTAGTTATATCATAATATACATAATTCTATCATAAATTGATTAATTTTATTAATTTTATTAAAGTGACTATTCATTAATAGTCACTTTTAAAAATCGTACCTTCCAAAAAAAAAAATCTATAAACTATTTTTGTCATTTTTTTTTATTCTAATTTTAATAATTAAATTCATTGTATTCATTCTAATCTTATGTGTAAAAAAACAATGTTGATGTTATATATCAAATGTCAAAATCTTTTATTCATTTATAATTTTTATAAATTAAATAATAATTTATAAATTCATCGGTAATAATTTCTGTTTTTTATGCTTATTTATCAATAAATAGTTATTCTGTAAGAATTAGACTATGATGATTTTCAGGGGTCAAAAATATTATAAAAAGGAAAGCAATCCCTAATCTGCCCTGTTCATTTCGTGCTCTAGATATCGTTTTGTTATCAATATCTAGATATTGTGATCATCATTGTCGAAGATATTACATGTTAAAGTTATGAACTAAATTGATTTGTGTTATTAGCTTTAATGCGTATTAATTATACTATGATGTGTTTTTTTTTTATTTATTTATTTTTTTTTTGTGTGTCTGTTATCACTTTTTCTCAGCTCTCACCGAACCGATTTCTTTCAACGATACATCAAAAGATCAAAATTCGTATCTAGTCGAATATATTAACCTCAAAAATTGAAAAAATTTCCCTTGTTCCCCGTAAATAGGGGAAATCTCCAAAAAAATTACAAATTTTAAAATCGCTAATATTCAAAATTTTTTTTAATTTTTTTACTTAAAACTGTCATAACTTTTACAAAAAAGAACAAATCAATATAATTTATAGATGCAGAATGTCTTTACCTATCATTTGATATATTTTTTTTATAAATTTGATTCTTTACCTGCCCACAGGTAAATTTTTTTACTTAAAACTGCCATAACTTTTTTAAAATTTACAAAATCGATATAATTTTTTTATTGTAGATATTTGAGGTATTAACCTATTATTTTGTATGTTTTTTTATAAATTTGACCCTTTACCTGCCCACAGAGGAGGATTCAAAATGACAAAATTTTCACAAAAAATTAATTTTTTCAACTTCACTTTTGAAAGTGTTCCAGAAATACTGACACTTTTATATATATCTTAAATTAAAGCTAATGTAATATACTTTATTATGGAAAAAAATATTTCGAACCTTATTTTGTCTTCACGGTGAAAATGGCTACCAAATGCTAATTTTGTGTGAAAATTCTCGATTTTATTTTTTACATTTTTAACTTTCTAATGCTATAACTTATTGAAAAGTGTATGGACCAACACAGTATTTTTATGAAAAATAATATTTATATCCCTTTTTCATTCATCATTTTTTATCTTAATCAGGATATAAATAAGGAAATAGCAGATTATGTAGCTTTTTATATTTTTCAATTATTGATTGTTACTATTATTTAAGATGTTATAAGAACCAGAAAAAACATCAGCTAAGATTTTTAAAAATCAATAAGAGTCTAGATTTATGTTATTTCATAACTCTCGAATCACACCCCGAATCAAAAGTAACTCCAACTTTCACTCTAACTCTCAATTTTATCCAACTCACTTTCTCTTTAATTTTATTTTTATTCATTTTTGAATCACAATAGAATTGTAGGATTTTTTCAAATCAGTTCCTATTTCCTTAATTATATTTTGATTACAAGTTTTATGATTTATAAGTAAAAAGCGGAATAAATATTTAACTAAACTTAAATATTAATTAAATTTAGTATTAAAATTGTTATGGATAAATTATAAAAAGTTATAAACTAATTATATTATTCCTATACTTGGGCAGAATACTATCCTGAATACCATAGGAATAGTTTTTTTTTTTACTTATCTAACCTAAAAAAATATTAATAGAATATTAAATCATGCAATTTATATAGTCTTCAATACTGAATGATTTTGAGGGGTGTCAATTCATTTTAAATACAAACATTTTAATTTAGAAATTTGATGTATAATTTAAAAATTATTCTTAAAGGTATTCAAGAAATTAGTCTGTCCACGTATGATGATTCGATACCTCTATAACGAACGTGTATTAAAATTCTTATTATAGATTTAACAAATAAAATATAAAAAGGTATTTTTTAATTTTATTATTCTGACATTCGTTAGTTGTTTTTTTTAATCGAAATTATAACCTATCATTAGTAGTTAGAGCATTTTTTTTGGAAAGGGTAGGTCCCTGTCTTTCAATATATTTATTGGATTGACATTAATGCTGCAAAAAATTACCCAAAAAATACGAACTCTTAAATCATTATTATTATTTTTAATTTTAATACAGAAGAGGTTAAATAGGTCCTTACCTCTCTCACTCTTTTATAAACGTTTGACCAAAATGTAGACACAAATAATCGAAGTAGGAAATTATAATAATAACAAAAACTATGATTTGTTATACCAAATAACATTTTTTGTTTAATTTTGGAGCCGTTTAAATAAGGAAAATAAGGTTTTTTACAATTTTTTTTTAACTTATAGAATATAACATTAACTTTAGTTTTACATTTCTTTAAAGTTTGAAAGACGTTGTAGATGATCATAAACCAACTCATATTTCATACTCTGCTATTTAGATGATTTTATAATAAACTGTATCAAAAAAGTCCTTTTTACAGATTACATCTCATAGTTATTGTGTTGATTGATGACAGAATCAGAAAAATCATGAATTAAAAACACATTAAGTAAATGTACTTTCATTTACTTTAATATAATTTTTATCAGAAATAAAAATGTAGTCATACAGTTGTTATAGTAAAAGCTAAGTATTTGCATTATCAGTTAAAAAAACATTATTATATAATCCCATCAATCAAAGTATTTAAGGAGAATAATTTAATGATTTAAGGAGAATATCACATAGTATTAAATACTATGTGATACAGAAATGACAATTTTCTAAGAATAAACTCATATTTATAGTTTATTAAGGTCAAAACTTCATAGTTACTCCAATATTATTTTTGTTTATTTCTAAACTAGTTTTATAGTGAAAAAATGTGTTTAATTTAATATTAACTACATAAAATGCTTCTTTTTTGATCATTGTAGGGAATGGGTTATCATTTATAGCATTTATATGTTTTCAACATTACCCATTACTTATTGATACTTAAAAAAAGTAAAAAATACCATTAAAATACGTTAAATAAGTTTACTTGAAAATTATAAATTGAAAGCAAATAATTTTGCTATTAGTATATGGTTACATACAGCAACAGTATATTAATAAAAAAAAATTTAACATTTCTTTTATAGGATTCCTATTAAAATTTCATTCATGTAATTTTTAACTAAAATAAATTTAATATATTTTTAAATACCATCATCAATAGATCAGATGTAAAAAAACAAACTTTTTTCTAATCCGAAAATTCAGTTTTCAATACCATTATAATATTATAACTAAAAATACTTCCTAATAGGTTTCCACACTCCATGCATTTATAAAGTTTATTTTAGTCATCCCAAATACATCAATATAAATAAATAAATATATATATATATAATTTTTCCTAATCAATATGTAATAATTAGAATTTTAGTTTCTAGAACAAAAATAATTTTTATGATAAAGTACCATTTTATAAAGTTAGGTGTTTTAGAAATAGTCCAAAAAAATTGTATAAATGCATAGTCCCAAACCTTACTTATTATAATAAGTAAGGTTCGATATGCTAAACACAATATATTTAGCATAGTAGTTTATACATATTATGTATAAATAATTATTAATTATAAATAATTTTATACGTATTTTAAGAAGACATATATTTTTATGCTCTATCATAATTTGTTTTTTCC